TACAGGCTCCTTTGCAGCACATGTGGCATTTTCACTAATCTGCACAGCATCTGTGTATGATCAGTTTGAGACGCACTGGAGTCCAAGTAGCTATGGACGCTCGGCCCCAATCTCCCAGACCAGCGTTTAGTGTGCATTCTCTGTAAAGATCTAAAGACTATTTTGGCCTCTGTGAGCCCTATGGTCTCTTTCCCAACTACCCAACATTCCCTTTGCATGTTGCACACAGCCACAGCTGATGTGTAAACAACTAAGTGGTCACGTGTCAATAAGACCTTTTCACACTAGCAGGCGGCAGGCTGCATTTGGCCCTCGGACCATAGTTGCCAACCCCGACCTCAGAGCCCGCTGGGTGTAGCTGCTGCAGGTGTCCTGAGCCCCAGCATGCCCGCAGCTCCCGACACAAGCGCCTGAGCCTGCCCCAGCTCGGCTCGGGGTTTCCGCTGCGTACCTGGAGCTCCTTCAGCAGGGCAGGTGCACCCCCCAGGTGTGGGGGAGGCCAGGCCTGAGAGTCACACTCCATCCTCAGGAGGGGGGCAGGTGAGTGTCCCAGTCTCCCAGCCCCAGGGCACCCGACTCAGAGGACAGCACCTCAGGTTCCCTAAGCTTCACCTGCACGATGAACCCAGTGGCCCGCAGTGTGACCCACTGAGAACAGACATGTGGATAACAGGAAAGTTGATTTCTTCCCCCTTTCTCACTTGTGTCTCCTGGTTCATCTCCAGATAAACCACCCGCGCTCATCAGTCCGTGTGGGCTCAGCTTAAGGGGAGTCTGGTCAAGACACGTGCTGTGTTTGGCCCGTCCCCTTGGAACGTGTCCTGCACAGAGACAGCCGGGAGGGTGAGCCCCAGACGGTGATTCCAGGCAAAGCCAGGGGAGAGCCAGGCACCGGGGTCTCCCTGCAGGCCCCCAGTGCTGAGGTGGGGACAGCTGCTGCTCTTTGTCCCTGTCTGGACTCTGGAGCCCTCAAGGCCCTGCCCTGCCCTGCCCAGACACGAATAGGTTTTTGTTTACGACCCCCCATCCCCTCTCCTGTGTGCTCCACCCTCGGCCTTTCCTTGCCCAGGACTCAGTCAGCGGGAAGAAGCTCAGAGGGGCCCTTTATCCACCGTGGTTCCAACACGTGTTGTCCAGAGAGTCACCCCGCTCATTCCACTCGAGCACCATATCCGAGGCGGCTCTCGGGACAGGGTCCCATGGGGTTCAGCCCACCAGGGAGTCCTGGGTCAGGACCTGTGGGAGCAGAGCCGTCCCTCCCAGCCCTGGCAGGGTGCCCTGACGCCTGCCTGACTCAGAGTGCTCGTGTGGGGCATTGCCAGTTCTCCAGAGCCCAGAAGGGGTCTCCAGAACTTGGGGGGCTTGTGTTGATCCCACTGTATCTCCAGGGTTCTGAGTTAAGTATGACATGGCCCGATGCAGAGGCCCAGTGAGGGGACGGGCCTGGCGTCGAGGGCCCCGTTCCTGTGGAAGACCTCTCCTATCTTGCCTGTGAGCTGTGCCTGATCCTAGAGGTCGCTACACTTCTCCCCTTCAGGAGTCTGTGTAGGGAGGAATCAGGGAATTGGGTCCTTGGATGCTGCATATGGTCCCATCGTAGGCCCCTGTGCAAATCCCGTACCAGAGGCTGAGGCTACAGACATGCTGGGAACACCTGGTCAGGGGCATCCCTGGTCCCCAACCCAGAAAGAAGGGGCACAGATTGTAGTGCAGTGTCATGAGCTCCCTTGTTCTCCAGCAACATGAGTTCTCATCGAGCTCTGCACCCTCCTAGCCCCTAACTTCCCACCCTCTGTCTCTGGACCACTTACATGGATGGTTGCAAATGAAATTAAATGAGGCAATAGAAGAAAATACTATATATAAATGTGTTCCAAAATGCTCAACTACACACACTCCCTTATTCTGCACTATGGCCACTTCCCATCTGCTAGGGGCACATACGGACACTGTCCTCATCTTTCCTAGGGGGTCAACACTGGGACACACCCCTGGGCACATTGAATATAAAAGTGCACATGAAGTAACAAGGACGAGGAGCGTGGAGGGCAGTCTTTGCAGACTCCCCGAGCCTCTCTCCTTCAGGCAGAGGAAGGGTGGGGTGGGGTGGGCCTGGGGAGGAGGAGGATGTCAGGACACGCAGTGGGACCACATCCCAGCTTCCAGTGCTCCTGGACATGAGCCTGGTCTCTGCAGGACTCCCACCTGTTCCAAATCTCCACTGCAGGTCCAAAGACTCAGATTCCCTCTTGTTCTAGGACACCCTCAGGGTTGGAGAGTGACTTCTCCCTGGTCCTTGTTGGGCCGGAAAGGAACTGAGTTTGTGCTGCTGTAACAGAATATCACAGATGGGGTGATTTATAAAGAACAGGAAGTTATTTCTCACAGCTCTAAAGCCTGAGAAGTCCAAGATCAAGGTGCCGGTATTTGGAGAGGGCCTTCTTGCTGTATCCTCACGTAGCAGAAGGTGGAAGGCAAGCTGTGTGGGAATGTTGCATAAAGCCCCTTTCATAATGGCCTTCATTTTGCCCAGGAGGGACAAGCCCTCATGGCCTAATCATTTCTTAAAGACCTCACCTCTTAATTCCATCACATTGAAAACACCTGGATTTTGGAGGGGGCACATTCATAGCAGGAACATTCCTTGCTTTTATAAGGTGAGTTTTTGACCCTGGCCTCTCCTTTTCCTTTTCCAAAATTTTTGAAAAGCCAAGAAAAAAATAATTTCATGATAGCAAAGCCAACACTTCCATCACCCATGTTGTCATCTGAAGAGCAGGATCTTTGTAGGAGCAGGTGAAGGGTGGGAATCGGCACAGCCCCGGCTGCATCCTCCCCGGTGTGGCCTTGTACCTTGGTAGAGAAGGAGCCGGCACTGGAAGTTTCACCGAAGCCCATGTCCATACGTTCCAGATCCCTCCCTGCTCACACAAAAATGCTGCCAACAGTAGGTCAATAAAAACTCAAAGCTTTCATGCATCAATAGAACTGTCTCAATCTTGATTCTTCGACCTGTCTCTGAATCGGTGGGTCTGCAGCAGCCAGGCAGTTTTAAAGAGTGAAACCTGAATCAATGCATGGCCCATACCAACCCAGCTGACCTTAGACATGGGCAGTTAGGTTTGGTTGGCCCCAAGCCAAACAACAGGTATTATGGGTACAATGGAAGTGACCAGCCCGGGGTGTGTGAACACTCCAGGTCCCTCCAGGTGTTCAGTTACAGCCTCAGGGCTCAGCACAAAAAGCCCTTCTCTATGGCTGCTCATGGGACCAGGGAGGGCTGGCCAGCTCCTGCTAAGGAGGGAAAGGGCGCCCGTGCCGGAAGCGCAGGCTGCGCACCACCTCGCTCAGAGGCTGGAGGGCAGGAGAGGTGCAGGCCTCAGGTGTGGCAGGTGGCAGCATAGTAAACCTCACCCTGAGGCAGGGGAAAGAATGTGACAAGAGCTCCAACGTGTCCCCACAACTCTGTGAGCACACGGGAAAGGAGGGGGCCGGGACAGGCCGGGCAGGAAGAGTGAGGGCGTGCAGGTGGGGGTGGCTGCTGTCTGACCCCAGCCAGGCAAGCCGCCAGGGCCCAGGCTGCCCCTCGCAGCGCACCTAGGCTCCACTATTGGGTCGGTTCCTCCAGGAGCCCACCTTGAGACAAAAATTCAGGTACAAATGGCTTATTCAGAGGTGATCCCAAAAGGGAAGTGGAAACGGGAAGGGACAGAGGCAGCCCAAGTTAGCGAGCAGGTTAGCGACATGGGCAGCTAGGCTCAGGGTCGCGGGGCATGCTCCAGGGACTGGGCAGAGCACACCTCAGTGTTACCTCCCAGCGGGCAGAAGGCCGGGGTTTATATCCTCCGACTTCCACCGTTGGCTGAGGCTTCCTCCCAGGGCATTACCCCCACGCCCAGCACTCTGGCCTGCCCCTCCCTGCCAGAGAAAGTCCTTCAAGGGGGGCTGGCACTCAGGTGGCCTCTGAGCTTCACCATCTCTCGCTCTCGTGTCTAAGCTAGAACCCGACTCTGCGTCACTACTGACAATCACACCATATTGTCTCCTGGCCCCCACCTGCACGCCAGTGCTGTCGTCTCCACATCCGGGTTTCAAAAAGTGACTCTTTATGAACAGGTTATCCACCTTCACCACCTCAGCCCACCCTCCACACGCCTGCGCCACACACACACACGCACACTGTGGTGGCCTCCGTGTCCTCTCCCTCACTGAGCCAGGCCTGATCTGGGTGGCCAACAACACAAGGAAGAGGCAGGCGGTGGTGTGTGACATCTGAAGCTCGGTCACCAGGGACATTGTGGCTTCCGTCTTGGTCTCTGGAAACACAGTCTGGAGGAAGCCAGCCACAGCAGCCTCGCGGAGAGGCCCAGGTGGAGAACAGAGACCTGTTGGCAACAGCCACCGACTGAGCCACCTCCGCAGGGGACTCTCCAGTCAATGAAACCTTCAGATAACGGCAGCACAGTCAATGTCTGGGTCACCTCGTGGGAGGCGACATCCAGAATCACTCAACCAAGCCACCCCCAAATTCCTGACTCACGGGCACCATGAGATACATAGGTAAATTGCTTGAACTGCTAAGTAGCCAGGTGGTTTGTCATGCAGTGTTAGATAGCTGACACATCCAACAGTGGACACACACTCACACGTGCGTGTACACATCCACACACACACAAAAACGCAGCCTTCTCTCCATGCACCATTACTCTTGTATTTTTTTCTGCCTCAATTCAAAATCAACATAAATCTCCAAATGGCTCAACTGTCTCTCTTACTGTATCTGGGGTTTAAAACCAGCTGTTTCTAAGCCAATGGGTTGTGTCTTCCCAGGAGAGCAGGGAAGGGAAGTCTCTATGGAAATCCATGGATGAACAAGGCAGCCAGACCCTCAGAGCCTTACATAAAGTGCCATGCATGCTTGGAGCAATTGAGGGCTGGGTCCTCTAGTCAGTGATCCAGACGGAGCTGCAAGTGAGAAGTAATTTGTACTCCGAGTTTGGTGAGGTGTAGACACTGCTTCCATTTATTGGCAGATTGTCCCTGCTAGTGGGTGAAGCTGCCAGCTAAAAGAGTCTGCCCAGCACTGTCAAAACACACCACACGTCCTCAGCTTCAGTCCTTGAAGAACACACAAAAGCAAAAAGGCCACAAAAAGGAGGCCATGGTCAGCTGTGTTGTTCGAATGTCTTGCGAGTGTCTTTGCTTCTTCTTTAACATGGAAGCGAGTGTAGCAGAGTATGGTAGGAGATAACTAGTAATCTCTGCACTGTTTCTTTAGGAGAGTGAGTTCAAATTTCCATGGTTTGGATCTAACCATAAAGATGCAAATATATGTCTAAAAGAGACAAAAATAATAATTAGCTTGTATAAGAGGAAAAACAATAGAAGTTCTTACTTCTAGCTCCCAGCTCTTGGCTTCAGGAGAGCTAAGATGCTCTCTGAGTCAGCCATGGCCCTGCAGCCCACGGAGCTGCCAAGCTGGAACCCGGTGGCAGAGGAGTTGGCCCACTCACTAGCATGGATCTTCCTCAACTCTCCCCGCTTGACCTGAGCCATCATGGGCATGGCGTCATTCACCCACAGAGAGCCAGGGTCAGAGCCCAGGAACTGCTTATCCTGGGGAAATCCCTGTCTCCAGCTCTGGCCTCCAACCAGCCATGCCCACACCCTGTAACCCAAGTAGACCCTGTGCTGCATGGAGGGCCCAGTGGGTCCTGCCCAGAAAACCCGACATGACAATAGTACAGGGTCTTGCATGCCTCAGGGAGACGAGCAGGTCGAAACTTTGCCAGCAATGAAGAAGAAAAGCTTGCAGCTGGAGAGCTGGGAGGAAACACATAGATCCATCTCAGAGTCCTACAGAACAAGTGGGGCTTTAGGTTCATGGCTTTGGGCTCTTTAGAATGAGAACATTGTTTCCCTTCTCTCTCTCTCTCTCTCTTAAAAATTTTTGTTCAGTTAGAATAAAAATATAAAGTTAGAATCCCTCCATGACATCAATGTAAATGTGATTGAGTGCATCAAGTAAAATTGTATAACATGCACAGGTGTAGGAATAGTTTGAGGGAGAAAACAGGACACATGGCCAGCAACCCAGATGGGCCATTCAAGAACTGAGTCTGGGCCTCTTTGATGCACCCACGTGGGAGGAGATATCTAGGGGTGCCCTGGTGCCTGGCAGTGGTGGGAAGCCAGAGAGTGGGCATTGGGCTTAACAAGGAGTTGACTAATTGGTTATTTAACTTCTGGACCAGCCAAGGTAGATAGAAAACAATCAGCAAACAGAGGAACTGAAAAACCCAATTATTCAGATCAGTAGAGGACATTTTAGCAATGTATATTAAGATTGTTAAAAGGTGAAAAAATATCGGATGAGTAATTCAATTTCTGAGACCTTTGCTTACACAAGGAAACAATGATCAGATATACATGCAAATAAAAATAAGACTATTCATTGTAACACTAGTCTGGTCCAGTTTAATGCTACCAGAAATAAACTGAAATTTTGCTAAAATTAAAAAAAAAAGCCACTGTTCATATAGCTAAAAATTAGGGGGGAAACCTTACATAATCAATTCTCAGGGATTGGCTAAATAATATGTGACAGCACCATAAAATGAAATCAAAATAGTTTCATTACATGATGGTCTCAAATAATTTTAGCATTTTGGAGATGCTTGGATTTTATTATTAAATAAAAATCTAGATTATGAAACAGTGTTCAGTATGCTCCCAACTACACAAAAATATAAATATAATATATTTATATATTATGTGATATGTAAATATAATATAAAATATTTATATAATATACAAATGTTATATAAAATATAGGAAAAAACTAGGATAGATAACAATATATTGACAGTAGTAAGCTTTATATAGGATATTTATAATTTTAAGATACTCAAGATTTTGAAAATTTCCAAATTATCTACATTGAACAAATCAGGCCAATAGCTATTTAAAATAATAAGATTTAAAATTTAATTTCCAAGGAGGCCAGATGTTTACCCTTTCTTCCTTTCTTAATTCCAATGGAGAATTCAAGAAAACAGGTAAGTGCCCACCTGTAGCAATTCTACCAAACAGGGAAGGGTCTCGTGCAAGGACAGAGACAGAGGAAAATCTCCACATGATAAGAAGCGAATGAAAGAAAGGCAGTGAAAGTTTATTAAATGTAAATTAAACATAGAGGATGGGATCCTAAGAGAAAGCCACGCCCGTAAACTGTCCCCAAGCTCCTCACACCTACAGTCATCCTCGGTTTTCCTCCTCTCACACTCCATGGCCGATTCGTCAGCACATTCTCAGCAAACCTTTCATACATCCAAAATCTGATCACCTCCACCAACCCAACCAGCACCACCTTGAGGAGCCCCAGTAACTACTGATAGACTCACACTCATCTCACGTCTCCACCCCTGCCCTGAGATGGATTGTTTCCATCTGTCCTTCCAGGTCCACACTGCTCCTGTCTCCACCTGAAAGACTGACCTCCATGGGCTGCTCCAGTGGGCACTGCTGCCCTATGACCTCTATGGACTATGCCAGGTTGGGTTTGGCCAACGGAGGATAAAAGCAGGAAAGCAGGAAGCAACAGGAGAGGGAGGGCAGGGGGTTGCAGCGGGCTGGCTGTGTTCCTCTACCCTAGGCCATGGGTACTGAGGGGGGCTGTCTGATTGCTCCAGGAGAAAGGATATTAAAAAGCGAGTCCTAGAAGTGGAAACCTAGGAATATTAAAACATCTCACTTTGCTAGAAGTCAGGGAGATGCAAGGTGAAATGAGGAAGTAACATTTCACATATATCAGAATGGAAAAATTAAAGACACTCTCCAGGTGCTGGCAAGGCTGTGGGTGGGTGAACAATTGCGCGCACCACTGAGGGCAGCTGTGCTAGTTTAACCACTTTGGAGAGCAAACGTGAATCATCACGCATGGCTGCCCCGCTGAGGCTGAAGCTGTACATGCTGTAGGCAGCAGCCCCAGCCCCAGCGCCGCCCCTTGGTACAGTTGGCAGGCAGCAGACTTCACTGCAGCATTGTCGCTAAAAGTGAAAAACTGAAAACGGCCAAAAGTGTCCAAAATAAGGAGTGGTTAAATAAAATGTATTGTCATATAATAGTTTAATGAACAGTAATTAAAACAATTTCTATATACATCAACTGGCCCAAGAAATCATTTGGCATAAGTAAATAATAGCAAATTATGCCAACATGCATACATCTCAAAACATATTGTTGAGTGAAAAAAATAAAAGAAAGTTCTAAAATTTATGTAAATTTTGAAAAACACATAAAACTCTACATACAAAGATAAAAGTTTTAAAACACAGGTAGGAATGTTAACTCACCAATTTTAGAAGATCGATCATCTATCTTTAAGAGAGACAACGAATGGGTGTGTAACATTTAATTTTTAAAATATATATTTAATAACACCCATTAAGGATGGATATTATCGAAAAGTCAAGAGCTAACAAATGTCAGTGAGAGTGTGGAGAAAAGACTGTACCCGTGTACAGTGTTGGTAGGAATGTAAATTGGTGCAGCCATTATGGAAAACATTGTGGAGGTCCCTAAAGAAATTAAAACTAGAACTACCATAGGACTCAGCCATAGCTCTGGAAATAAAATTATCACCTTGTAAAGATATCTACACTCTCATGTTCATTGCAACAGGATTCACAATAGCCGAGATATGGAAACAACCTAAATGTCCATCAGTGGATGAATGAATAAAGGAATTACGGTATAGATACACAATGGAATGTTATTCAGCCTTTAAAAAAGAGATTCTACCATTTGCTACAATATGGATGAACTTCAAGGACATTATTTTTAGAGAAATAAGCCAGATACAGAAAGAAAAATACTACATGATCTCACTTAGATGTGGAATCTAAAAAAAATTAATAAATAAGTCTTTTTTTAATCTAGTTAAAAATAAATTTTAGAAAAGAAATAGATATTTAAAATTAATGCAATAAATGATAATGGTTGCAAAATCTCTGTGGTAAAAACTACATGTATAAAGACTTTCAATGCAGCATCATGTATGAAAGAGAAAAATTGGACGTAACTTCTATGAGAAGATTGCCAAGACAAATGGGAAAAGCCAAAAAAGGAAGTTGCATCAAAAAACACACAGTATATCAGCAGCTATTTAAAATAGAAAAAAAGAAGAAGAAAGGCTATATTGATTTTTATAAATTTATAGTGAAATGATCTTGAGGATATTCAAAGGATCCCAGTGGTAGCTCCTGGGCAGGGGATGAGGCTGGGACTTCATCTGGGGTCCCCAGGGGCATGCCATCACTTTTATCATTTACATTTTTATGAGAATGTACTTTTGGAAAATATTTATGTACACTTAAGAAGATTAAATTTAAATCTAAAATGTATCCCTGTTAATCAAACAGAAGAGTAAGGGAACTTTTTATTAAGGCAGGCCCTTCTGTGATAAACTGGCCCCCCGGGCATGAGGCCTGGCTACACCCCAGCCGGGATGGGGTTACCCCCATCTCTGACATGAAGAAGCAGTACACTGGACCTACCAGGCTCCGTGGAGCCTGTGAGACCATCGGGCTGGGAGTCTTTGGTCTCTATCCCAATGCTGCCCAGGACTTCCATACAGCAGCCGGACTACTGGACTCAGCAGGACATTCCCTGCTCCGAAGCAACCACACCCTTGTGGGGCCATGGCACCGAGAGGAACCCTCTTTCAAGGACTTCGGCTGGGCAGAGGTCATGCCATGCTTTGTACTGAGCCAGCACCAAACACGGTAGATGGTGCATCGGATGGCTGCCATCGATTCCTTCCCTGCCAGAACAGGGGAACATTCTGCTCCCTCCTTTTAGAAGATATTTAAGAAGCTTGGCTCCCTTGAGAGCACCACGTTGTGAGGATGTCCAAGTGTAGGATGACTGACTCTTCTGGGTTTGCCTGAGATTTCCCTGGTGTAGCACTCAAAAGCCCACATTCCAGGAAACCCTTCAGTCCCAAACAAATCAGGATGACTGAGAACCCTATGAGTTGGCCCTACGGGCATTCTGTCCCTGGGCAGAATGGAAATGATGCCTGGCAAGCCCCCGGTTGTCTCAGCCATCCCAGCTGAGGCACCAGACGCGTGAGTAAGACAGCTATCTGGAGCAGAGCTGCCCCAGCAGACACCATCGGGGACAAAATAGTTGTCCAGCAGAACCCAGCCCAGACTGCAGAATAGAATTGATTTTGCTTTAAGCCACTAAGTGTGTATGTTTGCCTTTGTGTGTTGGTGGAATGGGGGAACCTGGCCATCTTCAGTACTGAATATGAACAGAATATGGAAAACTAATAGAATATAGAAAACTAAAGCAGGATTGGTCCTAGGAGTCTTCTCTGGTACACAGATCTAACCAGAGCCACCACCCCACTACCACTATCACCACTTGTCTCAGGTACATACCTTTTGCATTTGCAGACTCTTTTGAAATAAGCAGTTTTCAACATCTCCTGAAGATTTCTTGCACATTGTTCGAGCAATCTGGGCTTCAATATAGTACTCCAAACTATCTGTCACCTGTCGATGAGTAATTTAAAAATTAGATATATAAAATAATACATAGAATCAATTGTCATCTCTGGTAAATAAACATGCAACTGACTGCTTAGGGCAAAGAATGTCTCTTTGCTCCCCTTCTACAGTTCCCTTGCCAGAATTTTTGGGGTAACATGGGGAGATTCTTACCTTGACATCTCTGACTCTGTCTCTGTCTCTCTCATCATGATATTTAATTTTAAAGTAATGGCAACCGTCTTCAAGATAAATCGGAAAAACTATTGCCCAAGGAATGTTTTCCTGGGAAAGCTAATGATTTGCTTATTGAAGCTTGAGAAATAATCATCTGAGCTTACAGCATCTTCACACCTAGCCAAGAGATATTGAGGGAATAAAAAGATGCCCCAAAACTGAGACTTGCTTGGAGTATATGGATTCTCTCTAAAACCTCCCGTTCTTGGTGGTTTCAGTGATCCACACCTTGTTGAATGTTATGTAGCCGCTCAGGGCATCCTGCCTGCACAGGGCCCCCTGCCAGTCCCTCTGTTCAAGGAAGGCCTCATGGGGAAGTGAAAATGCACAGAAACAAATGCAGACTTTATTAAACTATCAACAACAAGAAAACAAGATACACAAGACTTGGGGGAAAGAACATGTTTAAAAGAAGGACCAAGTTAAGCACAACAACTCGTCCCAGAAGAATCAGAGAAAATTGAAAATATATAATAAACCTTTGAGAAATTCTAGAATAGTTGCCTGGGCACTGAAACAAAATGAGTGTGGCAGGCAGAATTCTAAGATGCTGCCCACATTTCTGCCCCCTGGTGTACCTGCCCTATGGGATCCCTAGGACTGTGACTATTCAAATTTCACTCCTGTGATCTGGTTATGCTACATGGCATAGTTAGTTTAAGACAGGCAGATTAACCTAGTGGATTTGACCTTCTCACGTGAGCCCTTTAAATTGGGGGTTAGAGGTCAGAGACAGAGATCTACACGTTCTTTGATCCCGCAATTCTACTTCTACTAGATGTATACTCAACCTCAAAGGCACACACACACACACACACACACACACACACAAATACAGGCATACCTCATTTTATTGCACTCCACTTTATTGTGCTTTGCAGATATTGTATATTTTATAAATTGGAGGTTTATGACAACCCTGCATTAGTAAGTCTATTTGGTGTCATTTTTCCAACAGCATGTGCTCACATCATGTCTCTCTTCACATTTTCATAATTCTTACAATATTTCAAACTTGTCCATTATTGTTATTATATTTACTATGGTAATCTATGACCAGTGATCATTGTTGTTACTATTGTAACATCATATTATTGTTGATATTATCATCATAATATTGTTTTGGGGCACCGCAAACTGTACCCATAAACATGGTGAACTTAACAAATGTTGCATGTGTTCTTACTGCTCCATAGACCAGGCATTCCTACATCCGTCTTTTTTTCCTGGGTCCTCCCTGTTCCCTTAGACACAACAATATTGAAATGAGGCCAATTAATAACTCTACAATGGCCTCTAAGTGTTTAAGTGAAAGGAACAATCCCACATCTCTCATTTTAAAACAAAAGTTAGAAATGATTAAGCTTAGTGAGGAAGGCATGTCAAAACCAGAGATAGGCCAAAAGCCAAGCCTCTTGTGCCAAATAGTCAAGTTGTGAATGCAAAGGAAATGTTCTTGAAAGAAATTAAAAGTGCTACTCCAGTGAACCCATGAATGATAACAAAAAGAAACAGGCTATTGCTAATAGGGAGAAAATTTGGGTGGTCTGTATAGAAGATCAAAGCAGCCACAACATTCCTGTTAGCTAAAGCCTAATGCGGAGCAAAGCCCTAACTCTCTTTAATTCTTTGAAGGCTGAGACAGGTGAGGAAGGTGCAGAAGAAAAGTTGGAAGCCAGCTCAGATTGGTTCATGAGGTTTAACGAAAGAAGCCACCTCTATAGCATAAAAGTTCAAGGTGAAGCAACAAGCACTGATGTAGAAGCTGCAGCAAGTTACCCAGAAGATCTAGCTCAGATCTTCGATAAAGGTGACTGCCCTACAGAACAGATTGTCGAGGTAGATGAAAAAGCCTTCTATAGGAAGAAGATGCCATCTAGAACTCTGATTTGGATAGGAGAAATTAATACCTGGCTCGAAAGCTTCAAAGGGACAGGTTGACTCTTTTGTTAAAGGTTAATGCAGCTGGTGACTTTACTATAGTTAACTATAATATATTATTAATATATAATTTGAGATAGCTAGAAGGAGGATATCAAATATTCCCAACACAAAGAAATGATAAATGTTTGAGATGATGGATATGCTAATTTCCCTGATCTGGTCGCTGTACATTATATATATATCAAAACATCACTATGTATGTGGCGAATATGTACAATCCTTATTGTCAATTAAAAAATATTTTCACATATAAGTGAGACCATACAGTATTTTTCTTTCCATGTCTGGCTTATTTCACTTAACATAAGGAGTGAGATTAGTGGGGGAGGAGATAGGAAGATGTAAATCAAAAAGATTAAAAAGTAGCAGGTATGTAAGGATGAATAAGTCTAGAGCTCTAATGTACAATATGAGGACTATAGCTAAACATAGTATGTTGTATTCAAGATTTTTGCTAGAAGTAGATATGTGTGATGATAGATAATGGTAATCTGCTTGATTATAGTAACATTTCACTATCTATGTGTATAGCAAAACATCATGCTGTATACCTTGAATGTATTCAATAAAATTTTTAAATAAAAAGAAATGAAACACTTGATTTTCAAAAAAAAAGTAATGAACATACTTTTGCTACATGCAGCAACATAGATGAAGCTCACAAACATAATATTGAAAGACAAAGGTCAAGCAAAACACTGCATAACAGAGGGCTCCATTTATGTAAAGGTCAAAGAGCAGGTAAAGCTTTGGTGTTAAGGAATGCAGGCTTAGGCAGTGTTCATGGTAAAGGACACTTCCTGGGCAGGGGAGAGTGCAAGCAGGTGCCTGGGAGGCCCGAGATGTTTTTGCTAGACTCTGGGGGGAATAGTATCATAAGTGTTCCTTTCTATAGCGGTTCATTCTGCTTGACACTTAGGCGTTTATGTTGATTTCACAATAAAAAAGTTTTAAAGAACAAATGTCCATCCTTATTTTTTGAAAAGTTTAAAAAAAAAAAATAACATAGAGGACTTATCCTACTCAATGGCAACACTACTATACTGGCCAGGAGCAGATAAACAGATCAAGGGAAAAGAATCAAGCGAATTTTACAACAGATCAAATCATATTTGAATATTTAGTCTATGGAGAACTGACTTTTCAAAATACAGAGGCCCCTTTTATAAAGAGGGTTCGGAAAATTGCCTCTCGATTTTTAAAACCTAAAGTTAGATCCTGTACCCTCACCATAAGCAAAAATAAATCTAAGCTACACTAACGAGCTAAACTTATATCTTAGAATAATTATAACATAACTGTTGTACTCAGGTTGGAAAAGGCCTTCTTAAGCAAGACATAAAACAACAAATGGGAAGAAAAAGATAAATGTTATTATGTTAAGTTTTTTTCAAAAATCTTAAAAACATTGAAAGCAAAATTAAACTACAAACAACAGACAGGCAAGTACAAAATATTGGAAATATGTATAAAAACAATCTCAGATTAATATGAATAGCACATAAAGATTATCTACCAATCTGTAAGAATGGATGTAATCCATGAGTGGATTAATCAAATGTGGTATATGTATACCATGGAGTTCTACTCAGCCACAAAAAACAATGGTGATCTAGCACCTCCTGTATTGTCCTGGATGGAGCTGGAGCCCATTCTGCTAAGTGAAGTGTCACAAGAGTGGAAAAATAAGCACCACATGCACTCACCATCAAACTGATATTAACTGATCAACACTTATATGCACATATAGTAGTAACATTCATCAGGTGTCAGGCAGGTGGGGGGAGCAGGGAATGGGTATATACACACCTGATGGGTGCAGTGTGCACCGTCTGGGGGATGGACACATTGAAGCTCTGACTCGGGTGTGGTAAAGGCAATATATGTAAACTAAACATTTGTACCTCCCATAATGTGCTAAATTTAAAAAAAAAAAAAACTGTTTCTACTTGATTCTTTTGGCTTCTTACCTGCTGTCAAGACCTCACAGTGAACTACAAAATAAAATGTACATTCATGGAAAAAAACAGCAAGCAGTACAAAATGGTATATAATTTTGGTATTATATATAATGGTATATATAATTTTTCAGATATCTGGGTATTTGGTTTATTGTATTAGTAAACCACCTGCCTATAAATCAGAAACAGTATGCTATCTGTGTAGGTAGGGAAGCATAGATAAAGAGAAATCCAAGAAAATAGAATCGTTCCAGAGAGGGTGGGAACTTCACTGAGCATTGTACTACACATGCAGGAGACAACAGGGACAGTCGATATTCATGAGCCACCGTGGGTGGCACACACCTGGCCACAGGTATCCTCTGCCCAAGAACTACAAACACACAGCCAGGCCCACACAAAGAACGGAGGCAGCCAGGGTCCCACAGAGCATGGCGAGACAGCTGAGAAGCCAGATGCCCCAGCCTCCCACCTAACCGTCTCTCCTGACCAGACAAGAAGCAGGAGGCTAGCGCAGGTTGCCTGGCAGCCTGGAGATGGACAGGAAAGGTCAAAGGGAAGGTGCCAGGGAGATGAGCTGGAGGAGGAGGAGCTGGAAGACGTGCCCTGCACTGCAGGTCCTGTCAGCACCTCCATGCACCAAGCCCAGTGTCACCTGCTCACCTCTGCCACCGTCTCATTCCTCCAACTCCAGCCAGACTGGTCTCATGCCTGGCCCTTCAGAGCACTCTGCTGCGACCCACCTCAGCAGCCCTGGCTAACCACAGTCAATTTAACACTGGTGCCACGCTCTCTCCTCAGACACAGCCTGAATCCAAATTCCCCCAGCCATCCTAACGACAGGACCTCCCACTGCATTTAGTTGCCGTGCCTCTTAACGTCTCCTTTAAGGAAGAACAGTTTCCTGTTCTTCAGCTTTTCCCCCATTTCTCATGACATTCACATTTTAAGTGGTCTTATAGAATGCCCCATGATGTAGATTCATCTAAATGTTCCTCTGATCACATCGGGAGGTGTTCTGGCAGGAATGCTCAGCACGGCGCGTGAGGCTGGCCATGCCCGTCTGCCCAGTGCGGGAAGCGCCTTTGGCGAGGGCCACGCTCTGCAGATTCCACGATTACAAGGGCATTTCTCCCCTTTGTAACTAATAAGCAATCCCTGCGGGGATTTGCCCCAAACACTCTCTCACCCAGTGAGAGAGTCGGAGGATTCACTGATGATCTTTGCCTGAATTAGTTATTGCCGTAGTGGTTGCAAAAGGCGTGAACTAGAAAACAGCGTGATTTTCTGGTACACCTTTTGCTTATGCCTGGGAGTTGGCATTCTCCTGTAACGAGGAGTCTGCCGAGCCTGGATCCCTTTCTAGGTCAGCAGGCTCTTCACTCCCTTGCTGTGCTATGACTGACTCGTGCTATGACCATGAGCCCTCCTGGACTCACGCTGACGATGTGCAGATGGCCCTACACTTGGCCCCTTTGAGCTGCCTTCAGGGGTCTTACCTCAACTTTGTGATGTGACTATAAACAATTTTAAGTGACGTTAATGGATATTTTAGGTTTCATCTCCATCCCAGAATAATAAAGGATGAAATATGGTTAATTTTCCTACAAAAAATTAAATTAATATATTTTAAGTTAATTAATTAATTTAATTAATATATTTTGGCTAAAAGCGTCTCTCCGCTGCGGTTGCCATTCCTAGGTGCACCATCCATGGCTGACGGTGCCGTTCTGGCTGAGGGAGAAAGCAAGGAGAGAATGCTCCACGGACCTGCTCCTGGGCTTTCAGAATTTTCACCACCCTAAAGTTGTAATTGTCGTCGCTGGCCTTGTTATACTCTTTCATGGCATGCCAGAGCGCCTGCTGCACGTAGACATAGGTCTCAGAGATGTCTTGGAATGGCCTCGTCACCATCACGGAGCCCCAGACTTGGATGTTTCTGGACACAAGGGCTGCAGTGGCCACCAGGAGCAGCAGGGCCTGGCAGAGTCTGACCATGGTGCCTCAGCCAAGGGGGCACAGCCCAGGAGCCTTCTGTTCTCCCAGGGCTGGGCTGGTTGTGAGCAGGGCTGGTCCCTGCTGCCTCTGCAGATGCAAGACCCTGCACCCCAGCTCCTCTCGGCACTGCTGTGGGCTAAAAGGAAGGAACTTCTGTTAACGTTGTTGTAATAACTTGATAGAACAAGAAATATACATTTGGTCTCCATCCCAGCTTTCTGGCACAGGGCTCCTAAAACTCCTGGAACTCCCTGAGTGATGGAGGTGTGATAGGAGCATCTTTTGTTATTTATATCAAGCCCCTGTCAGCCGCCCCTGAGTTTCTGCTAATGAGGTGACTCTTGTGGGCTCCCGGGTGGCCTCAGGATGGAGTTTGCCTGCCAGACAAACCAATCACATGATTAGAGGGTCACCTAAAATGACAGGGTTCAGAGAGCTTCACATGCACCTCACATGATTAATCTCATTTAATCATCACCATCTCCCATGGGGACCATACGATGATGATAACTCCTTCATACAGGAGGAAAACGAAACTCACAAAGAAGTCAAGCACATACATGGTTAACCCATGCCCTGCCCTTACCCCCCATCTTGTAACCGCCTGAGCTAGCAGACATACACACATAGCAACAGCTTGGGGTATAAGTTTGCTTTTGAGAATATCCAATGCTACTACAGAAGATAGCTCAGGATGTACAGGATGTAGTTTGTAAGACGCAGACAATAGGTTAAGGTGTGTTAAGTATAGGGAGTGAGTAAGCAAATAGCTTGAGAGATGCAGGCAGAATTCATAAGCTGTGTTGATGAAAGCTATGTGGAGTGTAGAGTGTATCTAAGTTGAACCTAGAACATGATGGCAAAAGTAAGAGACACCTCATCTTCATTAGGCACTAGATAGAAATGAAATGCAGGCAGCCAGAATACTCATAAGGTCTTAATTTGGCCACCGTCTGATGACACCATTCTGGCCCCACGCATGCTCTCCCGCAGAAATGCAAATCAAATCCTCAGCTGTGCAGATTAATTGGAGTGGACGCAGGCCCAGGTACACCTCTGTCTTATAAATTAGTGTGGGTTACTGACAAGAACCTTCCAGCTGTGGGACCCCTTGCTCAAACCTCTGCTGTGGTCTGCCCAAACCCCACGCCCACCTTCCGCAGGGAGCCGATGCCATGGAGAGCTAGGGAACCCGAACATCGCAGACCTGGGACCAGGCAGCGTGTTCTCTCCACCCCCACCCCGCTTGCCCCACGTCTTAAGCGTGTTCCATCTCACTGTCTTGCTTCTCACTCCACGTTTTATACTGATCTGATAAAGGTGGGGCGCGAGCAGTTAACTCGGGTGCGTAAGGCCTCCTGCTCCGAGCGCGATCTCCGAGTTACTTCCCCAGGGCATACCTGGAGGCCGCTCTGGCACCCAGGACACAGCTACGCCACAGACTCACCTCTGGTCCACGCTCCTGGCTCCTGGACCCTGAGTCAACCGTCCTGGCCCACAGGTGGTCTCGTCCTCCTTGGTGAGGACTTGACCTGACTGGTTCTGGCCCCCTTGCCTGCTCTCTGTCCCCAGCAAGCTCAGTTCATGACCCTGCACCTGGTCAGGGCATCAGCTGGGGCCTTCACTCTGGGCACTTGTCCCCTCCGGCTCTATTCCCCAGGTGGGTGGTCACAGCAGCCCCTTTGTGAGGTAAGCCCGGCCTCTCTGATGCTGCTCACGTGAGGGGCTCCTCAGATGGGATCCCACCAGCCCTCAGAAGACCACAGGAGTGCCAGCGGCCGCCAGTCACAGAAATCCCTCAGCCCTGGTTCCACACCTGCTGACTTTCTGAGGTTCTGTGCTTTAGACTTTAGACCGACCCAGCTGGAAGTGAAGTCTTCTCCATGGTCATTTCTGTTGGGGCTTCATTATGTGACCCCTGCTCACAGAGGTAGGAGGAATCAGCAAACAGCCAGGCTCAGAGACTTAAGGACCAAGGGGCCCTAGGGGAGGGGAGGTCATGAGTGGTGAATGGACTAGGACCTGGGGGGTCACCAGCTGACAGGAGCTGCCACCAAACACGCCGGGTCACAGGCATCAGCTGGCCTAAGTTACCTCTGTGGGTTGAACAGTGGACATGAATGAGTGGAAGAGCCAGCACTGATCGCTATTGGCCCCCCATTCCCTAGTCCCTGTGTTTACACCTGTCCCAGGTAAGCATTCTTGGTTCTGCTTACCTCCTCATCAGAGTTTCCCCTCCTATGTGTGACCTCAGGTCCCCATACCTGTCTGTCCAAGCCAATCTCTGCGGTGGAGCAGAACTCCATCCTATTCTGCATTTAGGGCCTGCCGTGGTGACAGCGAGGAGCTCTGAGGCTTGGAAATTCATGTTCCTCTTTGAAAGATGAAATATTGATCAGCACAAAGCATGTCAGAGCTGAGATAAAATTCCATACAGAGTCAGACACAAGAATCGCCTGGTTAAAGGTTCAGATGTTTGAAACTGAATTGCACGCTCAAACTCAGGAGCCCTTTCTAAGCAGGGACAAAACACAGGAGGCCAAGGAAAAGAATAATAAAGAATAATAAATCCAGCCACACATTTTGTATAACACACACACCCCACAAAGTCAAAAGATGAAAGAGAACGCAGAATAGGTCTGAAACATATTTGGCAAAGGGCTAAGTTCCCTTTTATGAAAAAAGCTCTTTAAAATCCAAACGAAAAAGACAATTTCCTCAATTGCCTTGGTTCAAAATGAGCCAAGAATTCGAGCAGGCAATACGCCCAAAAGGAGCTGTTCTCCCTCTTGGCCACACATCAAATGTTTGGAAACAATGGGCTTGTGGTGAGGCTTCGCTCCCACTGCCCATTGACCCACCTGACGTCTCGGGTCCGGAACGGAGCCCGAGTCCAGAGGAAGCTGCCCAACACACAGAGCAGAGAGACGCCCACGTCCCCCGCTGTGAATTCCGCAGGTCTGGACAGGAACACAGGTGTGTGTGACCCCGCGCCTCCTCCTGGCAAAAGCAAGAGGCAGGAGGCGGTGTTGGTTGAATGCCGTGACGGATGTGGATGCACAAGTCTAAAGGGACCAGAACAGTCACCGACTCCCTCAGGGCTGGGGGCGGGGGCCTGTCTGTAGGCCCCCCAGTGGAATAGGGACAGGAGAGAGCTGCCCCCCCTACGCAGTCCTCCTGGCAAGGCGGCAAGGCCCCCTTCCCTGCCATTGGCATGCCCCTCACCAGACGCCCTCCGTCTACCGAGGGGCCATCAGCCACCCCAGGTACTGACTGTCCCAGTACTATGACTTATAAGAAGCATTTTATTTTGCTCATGACCCTGGAAATCATCAGGACTTCAGAAAGGGCCCAGCAGAGCAGCTGGGACCGGCATCATCTAAGGCCATGACTGGCTCACTGCTGATGGGATGGGGGTTTGTAATAGATTTGCTGAAAAGTAATTCACATGCCGTATGATCCACTCACTTGAACATACACGTCCATGGCTTTCAGGACAGCCACAGAGGTCCATATCCAAGCCACAATCAACTTTAGGATACTTTCATTGCCCGAGAAAAATACCCCATACTCCTCAGCCATCACCTCCCAATGTCCCCACCCCGTTCCTGCCCTAGGTAGCCAAGAGTCTACTTTCTCTCTGTATAGAAGGACCTATTCTGGCCATTTCGTGCAAGTGCAAATCAGACTATGTAGGATCTTCTCTGCCTGGTTTCTTTCACTCAGCATGTTTAAAAGGTTGCTCCATGTCATACCCTCTATCGCTGCTTCATTTCTTCTTGTTACCAAATAATAGTCCATCATGTATATATGCCATATTTTATTTATCCATTCATCAATCAATGAGTGTTTGGGTTGTTTCTACTTTTTGGTTATTGTGAATAACACTGCTACAATCATTCCTGTTCAAACTTTTGTGTGGACATACATTTTTATTTCTCTTGGGTATACACCTAGAAGTGGAATTACTGGGTCACCGATTAATCTATGTTTAAGTGGATGAGGTTTCCAATTTTGCTACATGCCTACCATGCAGCTGTGAGTAGAGGGCAGCTTCAGCTGCGGTAGCAACAGGCAGAACGGAAAACCAGGCAGGTCTGGAGCTGTGGAGCTGGTTGAGCTAACAGAGACTGGAGAAGAAGGAGTCAGAGGCGACCCTCATATGATAAGTGGCTTAAGCAGCAGGTGGTGGCAGCATGTACCTGAATGGGGAGTGGACAGGTTTGGGCAGGAAATGTGAAGGGTTGAATTTGGGGCAAGTGGAGTGTCAGATACCTGCAAGATACACCTGTCTTAGTGTCCTCACCCCACTTCCACTTGCCAAATAACCCCCAGACCACTGCCCCATTTTATATGTCATTAGCACTCAGGAATGGTCTTATATATTTGCTCATTGGTCTGTTGTCCCCCCTCCCAAACTCCATCATATAAAGAAGATCTTTTCCACCTGTGATACCTTAATAATGTCCCATCACTGATTCAGCCTGGCCCCTCTTCTGAACACATGACATTCGCATCATTTGCTATTGTTGTCAACAGTATAATGATCATTCTGGGCATACCTCCAATTTCTTGCTTAGGACAAATTCCAGAAAAATCACATAGTCAACAAAGGTGCAAATGTAACGAGCTGCATCTCCCCCAGGCCTGTGAAAGAATTATTCATTTGTGTGTGTTCGTGAGAGAGAGACAGCGAGATGGGGGAGACAGAAACGGAGACAATACATAAGCCACCATGTACGTAGTTCATTAGACTCTTGAAATCAGGAAGTAAAGATTCTGTGCATAAACTTAACAATTGACACATACAGACATGCATCGCTTAACAGCAGGGACACACTCTAAGAAATGTGTCATTAGGAGATTCTGTCGGCATGGGAACATCACGGAGTGCACTTACACAAACCTAGATGGTGTGGCCTGCTACACGCCTGGGCTGGTGTAGCATTTGCTCCTGGGCTACAAACCTGTGCAGCGTGCTACTGTGCTGAATACTGTAGGCCACTGTAACACAGTGGTGAGTATTTGTGTATCTAAGCATATCTAAACATAGAAAAGTACAGTAAAATTACAGTGCTATAAGCTTATGGGACCGCCGTTGTACATGTGGTCTGTCGTTGACCAAACATCTCTATGTGGCCCGTGACTGCACCTCATTTCTACATGAAGGCCAGTGGAGAGAGGTGAGAAAGATGCAGGAAAGGAAATGAGGGAAGGGAGAAGAAAAAGAGAAACATGGAGAAAAACACAAGCCAAATGGGGGGGAAAAAAGTAGGAACAGAAGGGTGGTTTTGAGGCCAGGCAAGAGGTGAGACAAGGCAACTGAGCTCGCCTGGGGAGGACAGAGGAAGGAAGGAAGGACAGACGCACGCACTGGTGGCTCCCCCCCCCTCCGCCCCCCTTCCTGTGCCTCTGAGGCTTTGCCATTCTTTCCTCCTCCACCACCTTCCTCCTGCTGCCTGGCCCAGGTGAATTCTCTAATGCACAGTCAATTCCCAAATATGGGCTGGAGTCTCCTGAGAAAGCAGTCCTTGAACCTCGACCCTCCCCCTGGGGCTGGGTGTGGGCGCCACAGGTGCACTGGGAGGAGGTGTTACCTGAGCGCCCCCTTTCCAGCCCTTCCTGATTTGGGCCTGTGAGCGCTCTTACTCCCTGTGAGAGGTGCCTGCAAGGATGCCCGCTACCCCTGGGGAGGCGTCCCTGTCACCTGTCATTCTGATGACTTTTGCTCTCTCTAGGTGGAGGCACCTGTATAATTTGAGGTGCATTCGGGCTCAGAATTATTACATCTTCCAAATGAATATGACATGACATCATGACATGAAATGGTGGCTTTACTTAGTACGTCAAGAAATATATTCTGAGGCCTCCTGTGTGGCCAGGCCTGCTTGTTTTAAACACAGCGGTTGGGGTGGGGGTCCACAGAGCACGAAAAGTGGGGTGCTACCTGTGCAGTCACTCACGTGGGTCCCCTCAACTGAGTAGCCTTTCCTCAGGGTCTCTTGGCTTCTCCAGGTAAGCACTAATATTTAAAAAAAATGGTTATCTACTTATTCTTAAAAGTTTATACCACTTTGTTCATTTTCTGGCCTCATTGCACTTCCTGAAACGTCTAAAGTATCTTTTCTAGTTCCGGAGATCCGTTGTCATTCGTCTGTTTACACATAGTCTTTCTTGGTCACTTTGTTTTACAGTTATCTTTTATAAACATTATATTGCTGGACCTTGGATACTTAACAAATATGAAATTACCTGTCTTCTGGTGGGCAAATTGAATACATTCACATTTTTATGATCACTGTTTTCTTTTAGTCTGTACACAGATCATTTCTTTTGTTTTGTTTTGTTTCTTTTTTTTTTTTTTTTTTTTTGAGACCAAGTCTCACTGTGTTGCCCGGGCTAGAGTGCAATGGCGTCAGCCTAGCTCAGTGAGACCTCAAACTCCTGGGCTCAAGTGATCCTCCTGCCTCAGCCTCCCAAGTAGCTGGGACTAGTAGGGGTTGCTGAATCGGGAAAGAGCCTGCAGACATTTCGCTTATTCCATCACAACTCCACCGTCAGAAGGAAGCGTGGGGGTCCTAGCCCTGGGACTTTTCTTACCACTATAGTCATCATTTATTTAATTATAGTCTCTGACAATTGTTTGCCTCTAGTATGGACAAAAATCCTATTTTAAAAAGTGTTATTTTTAATCATAATCAATGAATCAGATACATTGTTATAGTAGAAAACTCAGGATCTGTTCTCTGGAATCACAGTTTCATGTCTTCCAGGCACAAACGCTGAGTCTCCTCAGTGGGGTGTTTTCCTTGGACGCCCCTCTCGGAGGCCCTTCCTTCTCCAGTTCCCCACTGGCTGTATCTGAAGAGGGAAGAGGAGCCTTGTCCTGCTTCCTGCCTATAGATGCCTGGACGCTCCTGCCCGTGGATGTCTGAGTTTATTTTGCAAGCGCTCAAAGTCTCGCTCGGTTCTAGCCGGTAGCTCATTTGGCAATAAAATTTTCCAAGAATTGTATTTGTCTTTTATCTGCTTTATTCTAATCAGTTCCACGAGCCATTAGCTGCACTCACTGTTCAAGACACATCTGTTTTTATTTCTTTGTATTTTTAGAATTTTAAAAAATTTTTATGGATACATAGTGGTTGTACGTATTCATGGTGCGAAATTCCGATACAAGCATACAGTCGAGATAACTGGGGTATCTATGGCCTCAAGTATTTATCCATTTTTCATGTGAGGCCAATTCAAATTCCACTTTTCCAGTTATTCTGAAATACACACTACTCCGGGACTTTTGAGTGATCGATCCTGTGACCTGCAGTCTGGCAGCAGGCCTTGTTTTATGGATGAAGTTGCTATACCATGCAGCAAGTTAAAGCTAGTTCCACCACAGGGTCAAGTTCATCATCTGCAGCAGGCAGAGTCCCAATGTCCTGCTCTTTTTCTACTGGCCAGGGGAGGCGGAGGGACCTTCGGAAGGCACACGGCACCCTTGGTGCGTGCCCTGGTCCCTGCAAGGCCCAGGCGTGGGCCCGAGGTTCCTGGCAGGGAGGCGCAGAAAGGGTTCCAGAAGCAGAGCAAGCCGGTCCCCTTGGGGTGAGCTGCTGCCTGGGAGGCCCCCAGGCCTGTCACTGCAGCATCACTGGAGGGGCCTCCGAGGGAGGGGACAGGGATGAGGGCTCTGGGGAGGAAAGGAAGCACCATCTTCACCCTCCCTGTTGTCTTCCCCAGCGCGGCCCCAGACTCTCATTCCTGTCCACGTGGAGGGAAGGGTGCGTGCTGTACACGCCTCCTGTGCTGAGACTAAACCTGGGGGCCTCCGGAACTCCAGCCCCCACTCACCTCCAATCTGGAACCTTCCGCTCTCCAGGCAAGAGCCCTGCAGTCTCTGCTTTGGCCCTGGCCTACTTTGATGTCGCAACAATCAAACTCTGTAAGATCAGGGACAAAAGTGACCATAGAAGTAACATTTTTCATCTGTTTCCTGGGACACGGAGTACAGTGGTTCAGTGGGAGGAGGTCGCAGAAGCAAGGTCACTTGTCTCCCTGCCTCTCCCATCTGTGCCTGTAGCCCTGGCAGACTGCATTAGTGACTCATAAAAGTGTCCAAATACATCGCAGCCAAGACAGGATGAGCCAGAACCCCCCCACCCCCCCGCTGTGAGGGCTTGAAGGCCACTAAGCACTGCCACCCCACCCACTCCCCAGGTCCCCCACAGCCCCTCCGAGGTGGGCAGGTGCGCTGTCCTCCCTGTTGTGGGTGAGCCACTGAGGGTTGCATTGCATGGCAAAGGCCTTAAAACCAGGCAGTGGCAGAGCTGTGACCTCTGCCTTTTTCGGGGTCCATGGCCTGGGACACCAATGCCATCCGGTGTCCACGGGGCTCCCGCAGAGCCGACTCCACTTCTGATCTGACTTCCCACTGGCCAGTCAGGATGCCGTGGCCCAGCCAAGGCTTTGAAACTCATTTCCCCTGTTCTCAAACACGGGGAAGAAAGCAAGCTCTTAGCTAGGACTGCTGACCGGTAGCCATGCACTGCCTGGCTGCAGAGATGGGTGAAATATTGCAGGGAGGGGGTCTCCCTGCAGTCCCCAGCCCCTCCCCCACTACCACCAGAGCCTGGCCCCACAGCTACGACTGACTGCAACCCGGACCACACAGCCAAGGAGTCAGGGGGCTGCCGGTCACTGGGGAGCATGCCCACTCAGGGTGGGTGGGGACAGCAGTGTGTGCCTGTGTGTGAGGAAGGTCCCTGCACAGGGGCCGCTGAGCCCGGGGAGGGGATGCTCCCTGCATGACTGGGCCATGGTGTAGGAGCAGAGAAGGCAGAAGGCCTCGTGGGGAAAGGACCAGACAGCTCTGGGCAGAGGCACCGTCAGCTGTCACCACCGCCGGCAGCGTGACCAGGTCCACAGAGGGAGCTGTCCAGGCACTGAAGTTGCCTCTCCTCTCCCCGAGGCTCTGCACTGGCCCATCCTCAGGGGCGGGGGGCAGAGGCCACAGGAGGGCCTGAGGGGCAAGTTCCCGTCCATTTGGTGGGGGTCTATGGTGCTGAGTTGGTCCGGCACCAGCACAAGGCTGCTGAACTAGGAAAAAGTTTATTTTTGTTACTTCTCTTTGGTCTGTGATAAAGAACAACTAATTTTGTGAGAGAGGGAAATGCTCTAATAAATAGCATGGATGAGACTTCAAACCTACTCTACAACCCTTTGATTTGGAAAGGGGAAGTGCGTTTTCTATTTGCCTTTCGTTTTGTGACAAAAGTAATACAATTGGCCCCAAGTGCGAGGGAGGACACAGGGCTGGGAGATAGCAAGCTGTGTGAGTGTGCCACCCTCGGCTGCCTGTCGCATCCCGGGTCCTGCCGGGAAATCAGGGACACATTCCACAGGGTATCTGAGAAGAGTTAACAGAAGGATTATTTGCCAAGGAAAACCAACCAGGGCGGTTAAAGGACCTCTGGTCAGCAAAAAGGGGAGCATCTTCCATTTCTAAACCCCAAGGGCTGAAGGAAGGTGGTCGCCACGCCCGGGGTATTAGCTTACTGTGGCTGCTGAACAAATGCCACCAACGTGGCAGCTTACAACACGAGTTTAGTATGGTGCAGCTCTGAAAGTCAGAAGTTAGAAATGGGTCTCGCTTGGGCTGAAATCAGCGTGTTGGCTGGGCTGTATCCCTTCTGGCAGCTCAAGGAAAGAACCCACTTCCTAGCCTGTGCCAGCTCCTAGAAGCTGCTCACATTTCTTGACTTGTGGTCTCCTTCCATCTTTACAGCCAGCAGGGAGCTGAGTTCTTCTCTCACTGAATCACTTGGACTCGCTCCCCTGCCTCTCTCTTCTACCTTTTAAGGAAGTTGGGGGCCCATCTGGATAACCCAGATAATCTCCCTCTTTCAAGGTCAGCCAATTAGCAACCTTAGTTCCATCTGCAACCCGAATGTTCCCTTGCCAGATTGCATAACACAGCCACTCACATAGGGATTAGGATGTGGACGGCTTCGGGCACCATTGCTCTGCCCACCCGCAGCTGCGGACACTCCCCACACACACCCACGCTCACGACGTCTGCACAGTGTCCTCACACGGTCCCTCTTTGGTTCCTGGGGTATCCATGTTACTTCCCCATAACCTCTAAGCCCCTCAAGTTACCATCAAAGGAATCCACCGATATTTCACTTTTGTTACACCAGGAAGAAAAGTGTCAGTATATCACAATACAATAAAATCACAACATTCTCTAGTACAAACTATCAGCAACTGGGAAAAATTTCCATTTACAGCAACAACTAAAAGCCACTCAAATGCTATTTAGGAGTAAAATTAGGAAAGGGATAAAAAAAAAAAAAAGAATTTGTGGCATTTAAATAATTTAGTGTATTCTATATCCTAAAAATGTCAATTGTCCTGCAAGTACATTTATAGAGTCGGGGTGGGGGTTATAAATTGATACCCACAAGTTTTTGAGAATCTAGGGCAGTGCTTCCCATGCTTTAATGCACACACGAACCACCTGGGTTCTTGTGAAAACGCAGATTCTGAATCAGTGAGTCTGGGACGGGTGTGAGGTGCAGCATTTCTACAAGCCCCCACGTGCGGCTGATGCAGCTTCTCCGGGACCACAGCCGTGCAGCAAGCCGATGGGAAAACATTTTATTCCCCTTGGGACCCACCTCAGTGAGGATGTTGCTTAGGGAAAGGGCCAGAATCAGGAGCAAATTAGACCGTGCGTGCCCACACTATTTCCTGTTCTTGCAGACCTGGTTGGGTTTTTGAGGTAGATGTTTACAAGGATGAGGTGAAGAGGGTTTTGTTGGTCTATATTTTTAAATTTCAAGGTACTCTATACTCCTTTCCAAAACATCTATGCACATATGTGTTTAGCACCATTAGGAAAAAAGACTCCACATCCCCCGCCCTTCCTGGTGGCCAAAATCTGGACAGGAGTTCCAGCTGGTTTTCCACGGCTGCACGTGTCCCCAGAGTGCCCAGCCCCAAGACAGGGGCTGAATTTGCACCACCTTGCAGAGACCCCAGCCTCAACCCAGGGGCTTCCAGCTAGAAAACCCTGAGCTTGCAGGTTTCCTGTTAGTGGCAAGGGGAAGTCCCCGCCCTGAGCAGCCCTTGGCTGGTGTCTTTTGTTCTGGAAGCTGCAGTCAAAAATGCTTCTTGCCTTTGGAATCTGTGCTATTTCTTTGAGGCAGGTTACGGGCCATCTTAGACATGGAGATTGTCCATAGCAATTGCAAAAGAACTTTAAATTCAGAATTTAAGGAAAGCCAACCAAAAAAAAGGTGAGTCAACAGCCAATTCTCAGAATGGCCCCTCATGGTCTGAGGGCCAAGGAAACCTACAGCTCCGGAAGCTTCTTGACTGCAGGCTCCTCCCACCCTTCCTACACCAGCTGTGAGGAGCACCGTTAGCCCTGAGCCCCTTCAGCGTTGGGGAGATTAGTACTTATGACATATTTAATGTTAAATCTTCCTACCAGGAGTATCCTCTGACTCTCCATTTTGCCAGATCTTTTGTTCCATCAGTGAAAGTTCTCTTTTCTCTCCTTGAGGTCATTTTAAATCTTGATATTAGCTATATTCTCTTTGTTGCTGCCATTGTATTATAAATGGTATTTTACCATATATTTTTTATATGTGCATTAGCTATGACAGTAAATTATTTCAGTTGACTTTCTTGCATTTTCTAGGCAGAAATTTGTATTTATAAATAAAATTACATTAGCCCTTTACTTTCCAAGTTCTCCAGAATTTCTCTGGTTCCCTTTGTCAACCTAAAGAAAGAAACTGAAGCAAAATTAGTACAGAGAGTTTATCTGGGCCAAGGTTGAAGACAGCATCCTGGGACGCACTTCCGGGTTGCCTTTGACCTTTGTTACAAGCAGGGTTTTTGAAAAGGGAACAAGGAATGGGCTGTCACAAAGTTGTTTGACAGGAGTTCTCACTCCTGTTTACAGAAATAACATTGATTAGACCATACATTGTTGAACCACAGGGTATAAGTTACGATGTCCAGTGTGTGGCGTTTTATGGCTACTTGGTGTCTGTTAGTCTAGACCTCACTTAGCAAGTGGCTTCAAGAGGTAATTATTTAGCTCAAGGGGAGGACGAGATGTAACTGCTGTCACATGCTGTCACATTCCAATGCCTCGCTGGGCCTGATAATTAAAGGGGGCTTGCATTCGCCAGATAAGAAGCTTCATTGCTTTCTCATCTTTACAGCAAAATATTTCTAAAGAAGTGTGCTTGCTCATGGTTTCCAGTTCCTCTCTTCTGGGGCTCTCAGGAATCCTCTCTAGTAGTCAGTGTTCCAAACAGCACCAAAACTGCCCTCACCGAGGCCGGCAATGCTGTGCTTGGGTTGAACCCAGTGGCCAGTTCTGGACTCGCGCCCCCTTGACTGGCCGGGTGTCTGGCACAGGCGGACACCTGCTCCCTTTGAGGACAACACTGAGCTGTGTTGTCTCAGGCCCTTGTCAGTCCTTCTCGCCTGGCTGCCCCTCACCCGGGAGTGGCCACGCTCAGCCCTTAGACTTTGTCTTCCCTGGTGGATTTCCTCTAGTGTCATGTGTTAGAGCCAAACCTGCATTTGTATGTACTTGGGAAACAAAACGGCTTCATTATTTTATCTACCTCGTCTATAGCCTTAATTTTTTTTCTACTTCCAAAAGAGATTTTCTCCATCTTCTACTCTATTTGTGATTTTTCTCATTCCCAAAATATCTTGATTATGTATCATTCAGTGACATTTTATTTATATTTTGTTGGTGTCTTAGAATATGTTTTCTAGAGAAAGAATTCTATTTCAACCCCCCAACACTCTTTGCCTAAGTTCCATTAAGCCCGATATTAATTAATATTTTCTCTCCCACTTTCTCTAATGGGCAGGGGTTTGGTATAGCTTCATCCACCAATGAATTTTCAACATAGCAGTTTGTTTATGGTAGATGTGTCTTTTATGAGCATCCTATGGATTTTATAAGCTTATAAAATCCAAGACTCTGTATTTCATCTGTTTATAAAACCTAATTCCCTGTTAACAATTCCCTGTTAGACACACCTATCTTTAATGATCCCTTTCTTTGAGGGAATTTTATCTCCTGCTATTGCCCCTGTTGCCTCCTCCTTTCCCCCAATGCCCCCTTTGTACCCCTTTCACACCACCAGTGTTAGGAAAGGGGCAGAGCTGCAGAATGCCTGGGGCTCTCCCTCCCTCTCACACACACACACTCAGGCTCGCAGACACGCACGTGCACATGTGTGAACAGTGCAGCTTGCCCTTCAGGATTTATTGCCCTCACCCCTATCTCTTTGTGACTATTATTTACATTCACATGGGAAGAGACATAAATCCTCCCAATCCTCAGAGAAGGGCTGCTGGTCTGCCACAAGGGCACCCAGCCCTGGTGACACGTCTACCCAGGACTCTCCGATAGGAAGGAGCCTCAGGCCAAAGGAGGCATCCAGAAGGAACCCACTGGGTCCAGGCCTCTGTGAGGGACCGTTACCCCATGAAAAGGGACTCCTCTTCTAATTTGCCCTGAGGAATGGAATCAGACCTCCCTCTATTCTGTGTACCCGGTGATGAACTTGTCCCTGGGTGTGGACCATCAAGCTGGCCAAAGCTGAGTGGCCACCCTTAATGCCAGGAGAGAGGAATTGGACATGCCCGTCTTCCGTCCCCGAGTACCATGAAACTAAAACACAAGACGGCAAGCAGAGAGACACGCACGCAGAAAGCACGTTGGGAGCAGCCCTTCTCCGGCTGTTGCTGTTTTTCCACACAGAGAGGCAGACACAGAGGTTGGTGGGATGTGTGAACCCCGTCAGACGTCTTTACACTCTTTCTCTATCAAATTGAATTCGCCATTCCAGGGGAGCGCTTCCATAAAAAAGGTGCAACTTACTCTCTGGAAAAGATGACAACAACAAAAATCAGCAGTGTGCCAAAAGAAAAAGAAAAAAAAAATTGTCTTGTTGCTAAGTGTCAGCTTAGGATTGTGCAGGGGGAGGACTCGCCACCTTCAGGGGATGACCCCTGGAGGCTGCAGAGCTGGAGGCTGCGTCATTCACAGCCACCAGCAGTCACGGGTAGATAACAAATGTCAACAGTCATCATATTTTGGTGTGAGATTAGATGTAAACTTGACTTTATGTTCAATTCTCCTCAACACTTCCTACAATGTAAATGAAGCAATTCTATATTAGATAGAAACTAATGCATGTTATTTTAATGATTAAATAAACCCTTTGTTCTAGTAACAAGGAAGTCAGGATAAGAGCAACTTAGAAGGTTCTAGGTCCTTCCATAGCTTTTGTTCCAAAGAGCCCTTCCCTCCCTTTCAAAATATCATAGAAATGACAAATGAGATGTTCTATATGTGGGTAATAGATAAATGAATGGGTGACTGGATGGACGGATAGGTAAAGAGAAAATAGCACAAGAAAAACAGCAAAGAGCAAAGGGCATCTTAAGTGGACTGGGGACATTGGGCACTTCCAGGAGTTAAGAGGTAGATGGAGTCAGAGACAAGGAAGTTTAGTTCCTGATAACTACTGGACACGTGCAATGAAAAAGACTGAATCAAGATGGGTTTGTAAGCAAATTTTATCACACTTCGGGAATCAAAATCTCCTGTGGTCTTTACACTGATCTAGAACACAGAAGAAAATGGAAAGACCTCATTCTCATTTACCCCACTGGAAAAATCCTGAAACCAAGATATAACTGAGAAATGAATTATAACCCAAACTTACCTAGTAAATAGACAGTCGACATCCTAAACAAAAAACTAGCAAATTAAAGACAGTTTTATATTAAACAATTATTATCCCTAATAGTGTGCTTCCCAGATTTCCCCGGTTATATAAAACATGTGGGTGTTTGAACTGGGAAATTTTGATTCAGTAGATTTGGGATAAGGCCATGGAACTTGTGTACGTGTGCATGTGTGTATACATACGTGTGTGTATGCATCTGTGTGTGTGTGTGTGTGTGTGTGTATTTGCCACATGCTCCAAGTGAATCTGGGCATCGGAAGAGTTTGAGAGTAGTTAATACATATAAAAGCAAAAAAGTGGCCTATCAAACCCCACTGTGTTCTAAATAACAAGTGCAAACAGAACCCTTCATGCTCTTCCTTTCTGGCCTGGGCCCACAGACTGGCTCCTGAGAAGAATAATAAGGATAACAACAGAGCGCACATCTGCGTACCAGAGAGTACACCATCACATTCACAAGTACATGCAGGGAGTGGCCTTCAAGAAGCGTGTCCCTTGGGTACTCAAAGAAATCCAGAAATTTGCCATGAAAGAAATGGAAACAAAGATGTGTACCTCAACAAAGCTGTTCAGGCCAAAACACAAGGAGGGTCCCATGCCATATCCATGTATAGTTGCCTAGGAAACATGCCGAGGACGAGGGTTCCCCAAACTAACTCAATACCCTTGTTACCTATGCACCTGCCCCTACTTTCAAAAACCTACAAGCAGTCAATGTGGATAAAAGCTAACCACTGGCAATCAAGTAAAGTTATAAAACTGCCAAACACACACACACACACACAAACACACAAATACAAGCACACCCTATTCCAGATGTGAGAATGTGAAAATGGCTCAATATTGGGGAATCTATTATTTTAGTTAGTTATAATAGGTTAAAGACGAAAAATATTCAATATACTTGGTAGATATTAAAAGAATATTTGATAGAAGAAAACACTTTTTTTTAGACAGAGTCTGACTCTGTTGCCCAGGCTAGAGTGCTGTGGCATCAGCCTCGCTCACAGCAACCTCATACTCCTGGGCTCAAGCAATCTTTCTGCCTCAGCATCCCAAATAGCTGAGACTATAGGCATGTACCACCATGCCTGGTTAAGTTTTTCTATATATATTTTAGTTGGCCAATTAATTGCTTTCTATTTGTTAGTAGAGATGGGGTCTCGCTCTTGCTCAGGCTAGTTTCGAACTCCTGACCTTGAGTGATCCTCCCACCTCAGTCTTCCAGAGTGCTAGGATTACAGGCATGAGCCACCATGCCCAGCTGAAGAAAACATTCTTAATCTAAAAAATAACTCTTAGTAAAGAGAGAATTGAAGATATTTCAGAAATCAGCACTTGATGTAATATTTAATAATAAAATATAAATAGTAGGGACATTTCCATTAAAGCTAGGAACAAGAAAAACTATCCAGTACTATTACTCTTCAGCATTATCCTAAAGGCTTGAAAAGAAAGAAAGTTTTCGCTACTGATAAATGTATTTTTTTTAAAGTATGCCTTAAAAACCAAGAGGAGTCATGGAAATCTTAGACACAAGTGGGCTCCCTGTGGACAAGTCTCTCTAATTTTCTTTAATATTTTCCTCAAACAAGCAAAAATAACAACTTTCCTATAATTCCCCCCAAAACAGGATAACCTCAAAACAGGATACAATATAAATTTAAAATAGCCATACTCCTAATACCAATAAAAGATAAAAAACATAAAAGATCAGATAGCATTAGGACAAGCTCACAGCTTAAAGGTTTGTCCTGATGGGTTACCTGCTATTACCTGAAAATGGTAGGGCTCGTCTAATCCGAGCATATAGGAGGTAGTTTTCGCCACCCATAAGGGGACTGCAGGTCATTAATTGCATTTGCATTTCCCGTGCCGTGGCTATATAGAAAGCTGTAGTTCTCAACATGGGAGAACCAATGCCAGCAGCAGGTGCAGCTTTACTTGGGAGCATGTTAATAATGCAAACTCTTGGACTCCATTTCCTGACCTACTGAATCAGAAACTCTGCAGGTAAGACCCATCCACCTGGGGTTATCAACTCCCCCGGGTGATTCTGGTGCCTGTTCACACTGGAGAACCACAAGTGTAAGGAAAGGGGCAAAGAGACACCTGTTGGGCAAACCTTCAGAATGCCTGGGGCCCCTACCAGTCTCGGACTAAGCACGGTTGGATGAGCAGTCCAGGGCTCTTTCCCAACTCTGAGACCAAGAAATATAAGCTTGACGCCAAAAGTCCCTGGGCCAGGTCAGCCCTTCGGTTGGAGTCTTTGGGTTTTCCCTGACATTTGTGGAAACCCTGGATAAGCCCAGCAAGAATCAATGGTAACTCCAAGACATCCAGGGACACTGTCTGGCCTAGTCATTGCTTAACTGACAGCACCCAGAATAGGCCTGGTACAACGTATGCAGTACCTGGTGCTCAGTATGTTTATTCGAGTGGATGAGTGAATGAATGAATGAATGAATGTCCTTTTATGCCTGTACAGGGATGAGCAGCTGTGAACCAGCAACAGAGGGTGGCTGGTCTGCCCAAGGGCACAGATTTCCAGTGAAAAGGTGTTGGCAAATGTTCCTACATCAGAAGGCCAGGGGCAATGGAGCCCTTGAGATAAGAGTGGCCTCAACAACATCCTGTCCCTAGGTCGAGGATGGGGCAAAGACCCCGAGGGTTCCTCCACGTCCTGTGTCCCTTCGTCCTCTGCTCTGAAGGCCACAGAAGTGACCAATCTGGGGCCGACCACCAGCAATCCAATAAAGTTATTGGACCCTCAAAGCGAGGGTCCAGGCATCCCAACGTGTTCCGTCTGGGGCTCAGAGCTGCCAAGGCCATCGCTGGCCGTCGGTTTGGCACCTACCTTTTCCAGTTTAGAGTTTCTTTGAATGGCACAGTTTTCATTATTGCTTGAGATCTTTTTGCAATTGCTGCGGACAATTTCAACATCAATAATGTATTCCAGACAATATGTGACCTGTCAAGTAGTAATTGTGCAATTTTATTCAAAAAGGTCTTATTTTTTTTTAAAGAAAAGCATTGACAAACACAAAAATCACTCTCTCATGCTCTTTCCTTTTCTCCCTTCCCCCCTCCCAGGTGTATCTTTAGGGGAAAGCCTGGGATACCCACTGCCTGGATTCCTTTGCACACTGAGACAAGTGACAACTCCGGAAGCCACCTGGAGCTAGACACTTGGGGAACAGGCTCCTCTCTGGTTTAGGGCCCCCTTGAAGGCAAGACCTAATTCCATTTTCCATCCCAACGATTGGGGTATGCTGTATGCTCTATGAAGGATATGCAGGGAAGAAAGGGGTCCCCGGAAGCATCATTTCTCTGGGCTAGAGATGCTAAGGTTCACCTGGGCCTGATGAGGCGGCAGCCCCTCAGCCATACTGGGCCCCCTGCCCAATCCCTTTCACATACACACCCCTCAGACTCCTGTAAAATCTCCCACCCTTTGGGGTTTCCCCACCCAAGGCCCCTGCCGCCGGCTCAGGACACAGTCCCTGCAGGCCCGAGTTCATCTGCCTCGTCCTCTGTTGAGTCTTTCATGAGTAGAACAGCTGTCGGTTTATAGTAAGAAATCAGCATTTACTGAATTCATTGGTGATGGAATGCAATTAAGGCTAGTCATGCCATCCCTTTAAATCTGCTTTCATCTGGCTTTAACGGATTACAGTAGGAGAGGAGGGGACGTCTGCTAGTCAGGTCCAGGTTCTCCCTTTGCTTTCTCCACGCGTCAATAAGGCTGTGTTAGATTTTAGCTGAGCTCCAAAGAGTTAGCAGAGGAGACTCTGGCCTGTCTTGAAGGGGAGACGCTGGTTTGACAACAACATCGAGAGGTGCCAGCAGGGTTTGGGAGTTAGGTTTGTACTTAGGGAACCTTGAAAATACCGTGGAGGTGACCCTGACCCTCATCAGAGCTTCCTGGGAGTACAGTGAGCGTCCTGGCAGGCCCTGCGGAGGGCCAGCCTCGGGCCTTTGCAGTCAACAGCACCCCAGCCTCCTGGGGTAAGGCTATCACCCCTATTCTTTGTCAAGTAAGGAAACTGGGGCGCAGAGAGACTAAGTTATTATGTAGCTAGCAAGCAGCCGACCCTGGGGTCGAGCCATGGCGTCCCAGCCCTGCAGCAGGCATCCCTAACCCCCGCACTCTTGTTCCCGGGCTCCTTCACGGTTCGCTTTTATTTCAATTCATGTTTTCCCATGACCCCTCCAACAATGACCCATTGGCTGAGTACCTTTGTGACCCAAACCTGCACCTTTCACGGTGTAATTTCAAGCCACACCACCACCCGACCGACTGAAGCTGGTGTTCACGGTCAGCTGAGTCCCAACAACAGGCACCTTTTACTGAGCAGAGCAGGCAGGCCCCTGACCACCACGTTGCAAACTCCAGAGAGCACCTTGCCCCTCGGAATCCGAGAAAGAGATGCCTCCTAGAGTTGGGCCACTCAGGGCCCCGTGAAGAAGGCCACGTTTTTATAAACAGAAAATCGGTACGTCTCCACTTCTGCTAAATAAACGTGGGACTAAAATATTTTTAAAATGTTGTGCCTCTGTCCAACCCCACATTCCACGCACGCTACTTGGACGGATTAAAATATTGCCTGTGACAGCAAAATTGGAAAATATTCACAACGCCAGATATGTCTCCTCACCTTAGTGAATACATGAACATTTGATTTGCAGTTTTGAGGTTATGGGACATACATGCAAAGTAGTTAGAAGAACAGCCTAGGCATGTATGGAAAGTGCTCTACACGTGCACTGTCGTTATGGTGGTGTGCGAGTGGGTACACTTTTAATCACTCACGTATTTAGGATTTTTTGTATATCAGTACTTTTCTCACGTGCCCACTCTCTCAGTCTGGCTTCACTCTGTGCCCTTTACACAAATACCCTCCTATGTGAAGAAAACACCTTTACCCGCAGCTGGGCACGCAGCACTCTGGTCACCATGAAGATATACTTGTCCTCGCTCTCCTTGTTGTATTCTTGCATGGCAAACCACAGACACTGCTTCACGTTGGAGCTTGTGGTGTTGATGGTTTTAAATGTCCTCAACTCCATCGTCAACTCATTCTTCCCTGGGTCTGTGCTGGCCACCAGGCCCATGGGAAGGGTGAGGAGGAACAGGGAGAGCCACCAGGGTCTGCTCATGGTCCCTCAGTCAGGAGCACAGGTGAGTCCCCTCCTGGTCCTCCCGGGGCTGGAGCTGTGGGTGGCGTTGGGTAGGGTGGGGTGGCCGCTGCTGCCGCCACTGTGGATCCAAGGGTCTTACCGCCACACGCTGCCTTCTCTCAGTATCAGACCAGCTGGATTCAAGACAGAGCCATTAGGGTCGCCCTTTAGCCCTTTCCTTCTCCAAGGAACCCCACCCACGGATCCAGTAAAGGAGCCTCGGCCACCAGCGTCCTGCTTCTTACCCTGGATGCGGTCTGTGTTTCTGGGGAGAACTGCCCTGCACTCGGACCTGGATGTGTCCGCACCTACCCCGTGCCTGTCACCACCCACTGTTGTTACCTGCTTCTCAGTCCCAGCCGCGGCTCCCCTTCCCCCTTGCGGAGATGGGCGCTGCCCCCCACCCCACCCGGCTCTGGTTCTCTTGGTCTTCCGCGCTCTGCGCTCACGCCTGTGCCCTGCTCAGGGGGCTCTGTGGGTCCTGATCCCGGGCCTAGCTTGAACATCTGAGTCCACACAATGCAGGGAGGTCACACTTTGTGATGTAATCTAGCATCTGTGCCCTGCCTCGGTGAGGACACCTCTCACCTGCCCTCCTCTGGCCTTTTGGTTCATGCAGTTCTCAGATGGCCACAGACAGCAGGCAGCCTCTTGCTGTGCCCTCGAGCAGAGGGCTTCCGGGGTCTCCTGCCCACCGTGCCACAGCCCCGGCCTCCTGAATGCCCGGCCTCTGGGCTCCACGTGTGTGGCCTGCAGCACCCCCTCCCTGCCCTGACAGTGCAAGGGTCACATGGCCCACCCTGATGCCAGGCCTGGGCCTGGGCCTTAGAGGGAGGAGGGGACCTCGATCCCACTGAGTTCTCAGAGATTCTGCTTTTCTGTAAAAATCCCAAATCAGTGTCCAGCAAGTTCCTAGAGGGGCAGAGAGGTGGGCATTCATCCCAGACTGTGAAGATTGATGGACCCTTGATCGCGAGGGAGGGCAATGTACATGTGGGCATAAATCTGCCAGGCAGGTTGTAAAACACTGCAGAGCGTGAATACTTCTCGTTGTATTTGAACTTTCTCCTCATTGACGGATTATTTGGTTATTTCTTATTTTCAGCTGTTACAGGCAGTACTGTGGTGAGCAATACTTTTCCAATATCTTTGTGACAGTGCACAAATTTTTTTGCATAACAAAAGTCTAGACGGGGAATCGATGCAAAGCTGTATACCCATTTAAATTTATTATTTATTGCCAAATTGCTCATCCTTAATTATGTATTCATAATTTTCAAATTGTCTTGCATACTAAAAGCACTTGGGGAGTTTTAAGACACCAGCCCACACCTCATTGATAAAATCAGAATCTCTGGAAAAGAATCTTTAAAAGCAACAATTTTTAAAGTTCCCCCAAGGGAGCTGGGCCCACCAGCTCACGCCTGTAATCCTAGCACTCTGGGAGGCCTGGACAGGAGGATCGCTTGAGCTCAGGAGTTTGAAACTAGCCTGAGCAAGAGTGAGATCCTGTCTCTACTAAAAATAGGAAAATTAGCCAGGTGCGGTGGTGTGCGCCTGTAATCCCAGCTACTTGGAAGGCTGAGACAGGAGAATCGCTTGAGCCCAGGAATTTGAGGTTTCTGTGAGCTAGGCTGATGACACAGCACTCTAGCTGGAGTAACAGAGTGAGACTCTGTCTCAAAAAAGAAAAAGTTCCCCCAAGGCTTCCAATTGGCAGCCAAGTTTGAAAACCAGTGTACTGCATCCATGCTTCCTGAATGCTAATGTTCATGTGAACCACCTGGGAATCTTTTTTACATGCAGGTGCTGATTGGGGGGGGAGTGCAGGGGAGGGTGCAAGGCCTGAGAGTCTGCATCTCTAACCAGCTCCCAGGTGATACAAATGCTGCTGGTTCTCAGACCACAATTAGAGTAGAGAGATATTGAACTGTGACAATCTTTGCTTCTCTGCATCTTTACCTTCTGCCTGGTTATTCTTTCTTAGTAGGATAGGAGAATAGTTACGTTTGATTGATTTGATTTGTCTTATTTACGTTACTGGTCAGGGTTAAGCATGCTCTCATATAGACTTACGGGTCTGGGAACACATGATCTGGGTCCCACCTTCGCCTGTGGTGAAGCCAGCTGTGTCACCCTGAAATAAAGCCACACATCCAAGCCCCAGGCCAGCCAACCTGCAGTCAGCCTGCAGACCCATGCACTTTGTGGTGAAGACCTGTTGTGGTTCTCCACCAGGTTGGGGTAGGTTGTTACGCAGCACATCTGTGCCAATAGCTGACTGATACACACACACATTCACCAAATTGAAACAGTAATTCTAGGATTTAGATTTTGGAGAAATATGTGGTAGTGGTTGTTAATTAGGTAAAAGATCCAAGTCTTATGCCCCTAATACTCAAACAATCCTTTGTTCTTCATAAGCAAACACACACACACATATGGGCTGTATGTGTGAGTTCCTAATATCTTTTGGGATAATTTTGGGATATTTTGGCCTAATATATTTGGGATTTCCAATATCTCTCTACTCAATATCTCTCTACTCATACATGGCGTATGTGTGTAGGCGTGTGTGTGTCTCACATTTTCTATGTCCATTCATCTGTCAATGAAGCCTTAGGTTGATTCCATATCTTGGCTATTGTGATTAGTGCTACAATGAACACAGGAGTACAGATATCTCTTTGACATTCTGATTTAATTTCCTCTGGATATATACCCAGAAGTGGGATTGCTGGGTCATATGATAGTTCTACTTTTAATCTTTTGAGGAACCTCCATTCTGTTTTCCATAATGACTGTACCAATTTACATTCCCACCAACAGTACACAAGGATTTTCTCCACATCCTTGCCAAGATTTGTTGTCTTTTGACAACAAATTAATAGCCATCCTAACAGATATGAGGTGGTATCTTATTGTGGTTTTCATTTGCATTTCCCTGATGATTGGTGGTGTTGAGCATCTTTTCATATATAATACCTGTTGGCCATTTGTATGTCTTTTTTAGAAAAATGTTTATTCGTGTCCTATGTTAATTTTTTAATCAGATTTTTTTCCTATTGAGTTGTATGAGTTCCTAATATATTTTGAACATTAGCCCCTTATTGGATATATGTGCTACAAATATATTTTCCTGTTCTGTAGTTTACCCTTTCATTTTGTCAACTGTTTACTTTACCATGCAGAAACTTTTGTTTGAGGGAATCCCACTTGATAATTTTTGCTTTTGTTTCCTGTGCTGTTGGTGTCATATCCAAAAATGTATTGCTGAGACCAAAGTCAAGGAGTTTTTCTCCTACATTTTCTTCTAGGGGTTTCATGGTTTCAGGTCCTATGCATAAGCCTTTAACCCATTTTGAATCGATTCTTTGATATGGTAGGTAGAATTCTAAGAAGACCCCAAGATATACCCTCTGAGATACACATCCTGTGCAATCCACCCCCTTGATTGTGGGTCAGACATAGGAATATGATGGAATATCAGTCCTGTGATTAGGTTAGGTTATATGGCAAAGGTGGCAGGTGGTACGTAGACATAATTAAGGTCCCTAACCTGTTAACTTTAAGATAATATATAAAGAGAGATGTTCCTGGGTGGACCTTACCTAATCAAATGAGTCCTTTAAAGGAGGGTATATAGAGAAGATTCACTTCTAGAATGGCAGATTGAGGAGCTTCATGGACCTATTCCCCATGGAAAAGCAAGGAACTCAGACCATGCAAAACTATCTTGAAAAAGAATAAAGTTGGAGGACTCATGCTTCCCAATCTCAAAATTTACTATAAAGCTACAGTATTCCAAACAGTATGGTACTGACATAAAGATAGATACGGAGATCAGTGGAATAGAATTGAGTGTCCGAAAACAAACTCTCATGTGATCTTGGAGGCGGACCCCCCAAGCCTGTCTTAGTCCTTGGTCTTGGCTGACACCAGGATTACAGCAGCAAGATGCTGAGCAGAGGACCCAGAGAAGTCAGACACACAAAAACTGAGATACTGAGATCACGAGTGGGTATTGTTTTAAGCTGCTAAGTCTGTGGTTATTTGTTACATAATATAGAAAACTAATATAGAAACAAAAACAGAAAAAGGAAAAAATAAGACAAAAAATACAGTCATCAAAATATTTATATGCCTAATGAGAAAACTGTGGGACAAAAGATAAGTGATCAACTTTTTATCTGATAGTTCTGAAGCCTAAAATTGGTAGATCGAGAAGCCAAAAAACAAGCAGAAATGAAAAGACTTGAAGAATACTCTAAAAGTCTTTAGCATAAAATGCCATACCCAACATTAAACACTACCAAATTAAGGATTTCTGATCAACAAAGGACACTATTAACAAAAGTCAATAGACAGATGATAGCATAGATGAAGACACTGGTCATGTCTAGCACTAACAAAAATTAACATCTAGGCAGAAAATCAGTGTGGAGATGAACCTGATAACCAACAGAGAACATCCTGTGTTTCTCAAAATCTCCGTTATAAAAGGACCAGTTATATTGTTTGGTTTTGTTTTTAATTTCAAACCACTGCATACTGATACTTTTTAAAATACAAAATCGCATGACAGGGTATTGCAATAATATCAAATTGCTGTGAAAGCCTGTCAGTCCCTACTCACAATTTCCATACTTATCTTACAGTGGGCTAGTAACGAACACGTGGGCACCAGTCCACAGAACATACTTCGAATAGCGGTCTCTTAGAAAACTCAAGAAGGCCGGGCGCGGTGGCTCACGCCTGGAATCCTAGCACTCTGGGAGGCTAAGGCGGGTGGATTGCTCAAGGTCAGGAGTTCGAAACCAGCCTGAGCAAGAGCGAGACCCAGTCTCTACTATAAATAGAAAGAAATTAATTGGCCAACTAAAAATATATAGAAAAAATTAGCCGGGCATGGTGGTGCATGCCTGTAGTCCCAGCTAGTCGGGAGGCTGAGGCAGGAGGATTGCTTGAGCCCAGGAGTTTGAGGTTGCTGTGAGCTAGGCTGACGCCACGGCACTCACTCTAGCCTGGGCAACAAAGCGAGACTCTGTCTCAAAAAAAAAAAAAAAAAAAAGAAAAAAGAAAACTCAAGAAGCTTAAAGATATCAGAAAAACAGCGAGAGAGAGAGAGAGCAATCTTGAAAAATAAATAAGCTAATATTAGGAGGCTGTAATTTTCAGAAGGGAAATCTGAGAGCTGGAACTACGGGCCTGACTAATTTTTCTATTTTTATAGAGACAGGGTCTCACTCTTGCTCAGGCTGGTCTTGAGCTTGAGCAACCCATCAAAAGATGTTCAAACCCATAACTAACCAAAGAAGTGCAAATGAGTATCACCAGTGAAATGGGTACTCCTTTTCCCCTATTAGCCTATTAAAAATTAGAAAGTTAGGCCAGGCATGGTGGCTCATACCTATAATCCTAGCACTCTGGGCAGCCGAGGTGGGAGGATCGCTTGAGCTCACGAGTTCGAGACCA